TCTGACTTCAATGTTGTGCCACTTCAGTTATGAGTAGCACGAGAACAAGGAAGCGACCTAGCACCAAGCCAATTCCCTGCAACCGTCAATTTGCTCCTTCCAAGCAAATGCCTCCACGAGCCCCAAACAATCACTCAGTATGTTGGACGAGCGCGAGAGCTTTGCCCAGGTCTCCCATATTTGTGTGGAGCCTTGATGATGATATCTGTCGGCCAAACCATCAACTTCTTTTCAGAGAGGCTCGGAGACTATCAGGCTAAAGGCCCAGCCATTGCCAGGCCTAGGCCTGAAGGCAGTTGAGTCAAAGGTCGGCGCCAGAATGAGAAAAGTGTGGGTTTCCTGCCTGTTACTGAGACCTGCAGCTGCGGCCTATAACAGAAGAAAGAACAGTCCAGAAGGTACACAGATGGAGCTACACCCCGAGACCCCGCTTGCTCAATGCCACTCCGCTTGGATTGCCAGGTTCTATCACGGAAGTATTTCCATGATTCTGGCCGCCGTTCTTGCCATCAGCTTCCCCATGGTTTATGAGACGCGGTGAGAATGGACGTCTTTCGGTGTTAGAGTAAGAAACCCGGGTGGCTTTTGCAAGGGGCGTTATGAGCTTCGGGCTCGAGGTTTGACTTTTGTTTTCAGCATCGCAGATATTTCCCCTTGCGGCTTGTGAGCAATTTCTGCAGACGGGTGTGCCGCTTGTGAATGCGATGTAATCGAGGATCAATTGGTGGAAAGATTTGGAACCTAAAGTCCTGAAGTCGTCCGAGGATGCCTCTTTGGGCTTGCAGGCTTCGCACCAGAAATACAACCATCCATGACCATTGCAGTACGCACAGCCCTTCCTGCACCTCAGCAGGTATGCACCTGCAAGCATGCGTGCATGTGACGATGTTTTCCGTATAAGCGCAATTGTAAGTCGAGAGCACAGCTGTGACATCGACAAGACGTATGATGTTTGATAGTAAAACTGCAGCAGCAAAAACGAAACCAAAAAGCAATACAGGACATAGCAATTAGAAAGAACAAGGAGGGTGGTTCCAAGGCAGGGGGTATGTCGAGGAGCGGGATTCGGCATCAGATTTGAAGTTGTCCAGGCCATGCTTTCAGGCAAGAAACGGCGTTTGCGCTTATTCGTTCTGGAAGCAAAAAGGCTCTATGCCACAATATTCAACATGACCGCAACAGGAAAACCAGGTGGAGTATCAGAAACATGAGCAACAGTGTAGCGGATAGCTGACAGTTCTTCGTCGCCGTCTGAACAAAGACTGTCGGTTCAAGATAGGCAGGCTGGCATATACAAGTTTGAATCTGAAACCTTGACGCCCGAGAGCCTCAAGCACATCATGCCAAAGCAAGCTGTGTCCGAACTAGAAAACGCTGGACTAATTCTGTGACCGTTGAAGGCTGAAGCTTATTCACCCAACCGCACATTTGTACCAGCCGCCTATGGTTGCATTGCGGGACCTGTTTTCAAGGAAAAAAGTTCGCCCATCGTCGCCCTGGTTAACGTCTGTTTGCTGTACGGAGTAGCGGCAGCAGTGCCGCTTGGACCAACGGCTAACGAGTGGTGACCGCCTTTGTGTGGCTAGAGTGGCTTTTTTGATGCACAGGTTTTCATTTGTCGGCTGATGTTGCAAAGGGCGCTAAGCAAAATTTGAGGAGCGCTGTGGTTATAGAACATGTACAAGCATGTTCGTGTAACTTGGCACAGGATCTGCATGGTACCGAGTTTGGACAACTTGCTGTGTAGCAGGACATGCCATTTCCTTTCAGCAACCCCGACCGTAAAACGATCCCCGGCGCAGTCTCTCTGACGGCGTGATACGACGGATTCGGACCCCTCCCCCACAGCCGTTCAGGCTTTGGCTTGTGGTCACGAAAAATCACCAAACACAAGTTTGAAGTCTCAGACCTGCACATTGGAAGCTTTGTCTTCTGAGGTATATTCCTATGGATACGATGCCTTCGGCTTACTGCTCCGAGCATCCCGGCTCTCAAGATTGTGATGAGGGGTCTGGTGACTCACGAGAATGGTCTCAGAGTCCGGTGTTTGATATGTTCGCTTTTGCTATGTGGAGGCAAGCTGTGGGTTGGGTTGGGATACTCAGGCTCATCAAATCATTGCGACTACCCGAAAACACGAGCAGGTTCTCGAAAACTTTCTTCCACTCTTTTGCTGGTTTCCGTACATGTTCTCATTGCCGTCCACCTACCATGGCCCGGTAGGTTGGCAGGAAATCTCAGAGTCCCGAGCTTGACAAACCTTGCGGAGTAGCCAAAGAACAAGCCCTCTGACAGGTCGGCAGAGTCCTACTCCATCCTGAACTCCATCAAGACTCCTGCCATGCAACGTTGACTTTCTGAGATCTCTGCCCGCACCGGCTCTCCACGGTGCCAAGCACGGAGTGGCCGTCATGCCTCCACACGACCACAAGCCAGGTGCTGCCTGAACTCTGCACCACTGCGAGCCTCACTCAACCAACTCCAAGCGGCAGCAGACAAGTCAAGCAATAGTTGCGATCCTTGCCCGAGTTGCTTCTTCTAACCAGGAGCGTCAGCGGCATCATTGGCCCACCACTTTTTGGTGCTGTGAGGCGCAGTGGGTCGCTTCTTCGTGACCTTGGTAGGAGAAATGGCTCATGCTTGTAATATGATAAATACCTGCTTCTTGGGAAAGGCTGACCTCGAGTTTGATCCTCGCCTGACAAAGCCCCTAAAAGAAACCAAAACAGTCCTCGATCACTCCCCGAAAGCATATAGCATTGTAGCTTGTGTAAGATTGAAGAGGTGTCGATGCAATGTAGACTTGCCCTGCTCTCCCGTGCAAGCCTCAGCAATCCTCAAGCTTTATCCCTGAAGGGAAGCTTTTGATGGCCCGACAGCTGTCGCAGTCCTGGGCCTCTCGGAGGTACTTGGGCTCACGCTCCCTGGCAATCTTGCGTTTTCTGAACATGTAGGGGGGGGGGAGTCCTTCGCACCGGGAAAGCCTTCTCGTCCAAGATCTTCGCAGGCGCAGAGCTTCCAGATTTTAGTCCCTGCTCCCGGAGTCATCTCACTTCCGCAAAACCCTTCAACTGCTCAGAGCCTCGAGCCTGAAAGTGCCTGAAAGTGCGTACTCATCTCGAGCTCGAGCTGAGGCTGTTCCTGATTTTCTTCATGCTTATAGGCGAGCTGAAAGCATCCGTAAGGTGTACAGAGCTTCCAACTGAGAGGATTGAGCACAGCAAATCCTTCGACAACGAGGTTTCCTCGGATTCAGACCTTCAGTCCGTCTGAGGCTCCTAGGATGTCTCGACCCAAGATTTCCGCAGCGTTTTCGAGCTTTGCCTTCAGACGGAAATGCCTCGCCTTTCGACGCCAGAGCCTCCGAAAGAAGACGCGCATGGTTTTACAGTGATTATCTTTCTGATCCTTGCGTGGCACTTGGAGGCCGTGCGGTCAAGAGGCCATGGCCAACATAGTTAGAAAATGTTGTACAGCTGCAACGACCTCCTAAAGAGGTCCGACGACTCGTGAGCATCCCGTTGGATCCAATCCTTCGCCGTAGATGCCCTGAGGCCGCTTGCATGAGCTCCTCCCTCCTTTGCGTGCATTCCCGGCCTAACAAACATCCCCCAAACTCCAAAACCTTCTGGTCCTAGAATGTAAGATTCGCATCAAGCCCGTGCCCAACGAAAGCCCGGCAACTTTAGCTCCAGTCTCCCAAGCCCTCGGCCCTCGGGGTGGAAGTGATTGGACCCTTGGGGGATGAAGCCCGTCGCACAGACACGGCCGCGCGTTTCGACGCGCTCCCCGTTTGTACAGTCTCTATAATTTACTTTCATTTTTGGATGGTCCTTCACTTGAGACTGCTGCACCACTGCACTCGACTCGCAGCTTCTCGCAAAGACGAGCTGGAAAGAAGGGCGTTCCATTCTGGCTTCCACCTCTCGGCCGGTTCCTTCCAGAGCAAGGCCTTAATGAAACCCGACTTGGTTTCGTGTGGTCTCAGGAACCTAGACTCAAACAGGGGGCCTTTGTGCTGCGAGAGCTCACTGAGAGCCACTCCGAGGTGCCGGACATGGCAAAGTTCGGCAGGTCGGAGCAGCTGCATTTCGCTGTACAGGCACAGGGGAGGTAGGTGGACTTAGGTGGAGCGTGTCACAGACAGCCTTCAGTTCGCAATACGGTTCGCAGCCCTCAAGCTGCCCGAATTTCAACAACTTTGAAACCTGTCTCGGCCAAGGAGTTCGGGTTGAAAGGGTGTTCGCCTGCTTGAAGCCTGTAGATCTCAACCACAGTGATAAAGCTGACGGAGTGGTTCGGGCTTGCAAACGGATGTGGGCACTTGCATGCTTCTTCGCCACACCATCATCCTCTTCCGGGTCACCATCGTCACCAGCGTCGATGTCATTATCCTAATCCGTGGCTGTTGTACCAGCAGCAACAAGTTCTCGTTATCAACAGCCGCAATAGAGCAAGTGCTCGCTGGCACGACGGCTGCAGACTTGCGTGAACCCTGAGTAACCATGCCATCATTCCCAGCCAGCCCCGCACCCTGAGCGCCCCAGTTCCTCAAACCCGAAACTCCTTGCACGGAGGCGGTCATGGCGTACAGAGAGAACCTCGTCTGAAGTTTAGAACACTTCCGGAGAAGCGGAACTTGGTTGGGTGTTCCTGAAGTTCTTTCGTCTGGTTTGCAGGCGTTTCCTGACCTAGGCCCTAGGCTGTGGGATTCAGCTTGCGCTGTTAATGTCCAAAAACAGAGGCTTCAAGAGCCATCCTTAGCTTCCTCGCTTCGTAGAGTGAGTAGGCAAGCAGCTGCTGTCATTGGTTGTTATCACTGAGGCTGAGCTGAGAACTTATTCAATCAAGCAGATTGCAGATTGCCCACACAATCGGTCTGAGACAGTGAATGCGGTGCTGCAGCGTTCTGCTCTAGAGGAAACATGGCCAACTACCTCCAGTGCGAGATGCAGCTGCGGCAGATGAGTGTGTCCACGACCTAGCCGCGGGTTGCGAATACTCCGCGATAACCTTTTCTGCCAAAAGCTTGCGTCCCGAGCAACCGATGGTGTGCTCCCACAAGTAGCTCCTTATCAGCTCTGCAGCCCTACGTCACTGTTCCATAGCCCAGGTCCAGCTCGCAAAGGAGATGAACTCTGCAAGGCTTCCGCTTGAGTTCTGAGTTGTGATACACCACACTTGCCAACTTCCAAAACCGCGCGTTAAAGGCTTTGCCCTTGGTGAAACTTTAGCAGGGGGCAGAATCATTTTCTTGATGATGCTTGTTCGATGACGAGTTAAGTGTACAGGATTTCGGGGTTCAGGGTTCTCGTGCGTCTGGTCATGTTGAAGCGTTTCGGAAGGAGAGTTTGCGACTGCATCTTTTGCTTCAGAAGTTTGCAAGTCCAGGACTTCAAGTGGCAGAGAGCAAACATTCAGTCTTTCATTCTTTGTGAACATGTTGGACATGTGCTGCAATGCCATGATAGGTTCAAAAGAACATAGAATCTGTAGGATCGCCATGTAGGAGAAGGTCAGACACTTAGCTAGTCCGGAGCATCTGCATTACGGGCACCCGCCTTGGATTTCCCAATTGCTCTCGACACCTTCTAGAGCGAGGTCCAGAATGGATTTTCCGATACTCGAGCACAGCTGGCATTCCGCTTCATGCATGCCAGCCGACAAATGGTTTCATATAGCACTGCAACGAGAAATCGACTGTCGTCAACGGCCCTCAAAGAAGTACTAAACATTGTTGGTCAAGCATGGAACCCAGCTGTGGCAAGCCCTCGCATGCTGCAGAAGAGCTTTCTGACCCCCTGTGCGCAGGACCAGTGAAGGTGAGCCTTCCGTTTTTGTGGAGGAGGCTGTCCTTGGTTTCTATCATCGGGTGGCAGGGTGAAGCGTCCATAAGCGGTTTATTAGGCATCGAGCCTCGATTCCGAGGCCCAAAGGGCTTGTAGTGGCTTTTGAAGCTTCGTGCTAATGAAGTCAAGCTCCAAGTAGCCAGACATAGATGTTGCAGCATACAGATGTCCTACACCCGGATTCCAGTGTTCTAAATGCCAAGATCCTGCATGCCCTAGGCCCTAAAGCTTAATGTGGCCCAGATCTTAACAAGGGATTGTAGTGAATGGAGCGCCGGGCGGTGGGATTCGGGCGATTCAGGTGTCTCTTGTTTTGGAGATGCGAACTAAGGGTTTGTTTGCGTGTGGCCCTGGGATCTGGCAGTGTTCAACAAGCAGGCTGTGCTTAGGATGAGGATTGAGCGACAACTGTTCTTGGGTTCCCGAGAGGATGGGGCCAGCAAGCTTGGCGATCTCGCCCGTGAGTCCCAGACTCCCGGACCAGGGGTTCGTCATCAACCCTCTCAGCCCTGGAGCATCCGAATACGTTCAAGAGAAGCTTGGCCATGTGCGTTTCTGCAGCCTGAGGTAGAGGCATATGTGGTGAAAAACGTGGCCATGTTTGCCAGGTGTATGTCGGGAACTCAGCATGCATTATTACTGAGGCTGACAAGTTGAGTTCAAGTTTTTCGAAGAGGGTTTTTGCCGAGAAACCTTCGGAGCGCAGAGGCTACAGGCCAGGCGTGAACACCATGAAAACGTAGGACGCAGACGACCTAGTACAATCTTGGGAAGACTTTGACTGTGACTAGCCAAAAACTTACACTTCAGACTGCCCCAGGGTCAGGGTTCAGAAGACATCGCATGGAGCAACATACATTTTCGCGTTGCGCCATAGCCGAGGGCTCGAGCGGACTACGACTCATTGCCACCCAGTGCCCACACAAGCCCTACAAACGCAAGCATCTCTGGTTTAGCTTTGAACCGGGACACCCGAAGAAGCGTCAGCCCGAAACTCAAGGGGGCCTGGTCAGGATCAGCCCGATGGCTGCCTTCTTGGGCGGTGTGGTCGCGCAGGAGGCACCATGCCAGTCATCGCGGTGGTCATGGAGTGTCGGTGCTTGGGCTTACCGGAACTTCTTGCATATCGGTGCAGAAGATTCCTGCTTGACTTGCGAAAGTCTTGGTGAAACCCGGTGCAACTTTAGCAACCGCGTCCAGTTGTGCGCACAGTTGGTGGAGCGGCATCATGTCAGAAACTCTTTGATATACTCGACACAGTCATTTGTTTCGGTCAAGGTTGCGTGTGTTCACAGCGTGCCACTGCATCCTGAACTGCCCCAAAAGTACCCTGGCCTTTCTCCTTTTCAGGTTTGGGGGCGCTGCCGTAATGAGTGGCCGGCATGTCACATGTCGGGTTGGATTCTCATGCTGATAGGCATCTTGGCTCAGAAGCAGACCGGGCTTGCTGCAGGTGGTCAAGTTCACAGGCAAGTACACGCCATTGCACCAGTTCCTCTACCTGGACATGCCTGTGCCCTAGATTCCTAGATGTATCGGAGGATTTTTTCGATAACACAGGGTGACTTGTGGTAACCATCAGGCCTCATGGGTGCTTGTGCGCTTGCGATCACCCTTTCGTGACCGCTAGCGCGGCCAGTGAGAGCTCCCTTTCGCCTTTCGCATGGTCGTTTTGGCTTCAGGTTCGAGCTTTGCCCAGCGTCAGAGCCGCCGGACTGGAAGCCTGTGCCCAAGTGCGCCGCAAAGAAAGGGGAGCCTGCCTGCCGGCCTGCAACCTGCCCGCCTTCCCCTTTCTCGACAGCAAGGCCTTCAGGCAGCCGCTACGACGACCAGATTGCCATCTTCGGGTCCGCCATTCAGCAGGCCAGTCATGAGGTTGTTCAGAATTTCAGACTAGTGCTCAGTGTAATCTTGTGACGCTCGGCTTATAAGTTTAGGATAAGTAACTTGGTGCTCTGGTGGCGTGCCTTTGAGAAAATCATCCACGAGCCCGGCTTAGTAAGATATACCGCTTCTTGGTCGTGTCACATCTGTCCAAGCCGTGCAGCTCAGGGCCTCTAAGCACCGGATCAAGAAAAGTTCCAGCATGCTTCTTGCGTCGGCAGTTCTGAGATGTCGAAGCAGGATCCGGGGTCGGTGCTTGCAAACGTAAAGTTTACAGCATCCGAAGTGAAGGGCTCAGCATGAAACAATACAGTAGGTCCAGAGCAGGGGTTGATCTAGTCAGGAAGGAATTTTTGAACGGGGACCTGCCCCTGAGCTATGTAGGCCTGGCCTCACGCAAGAAGTCACTAATGAAGCAGGCGATCTCGAACATGAAGCTGTTCTTAGTTGGCCATCTCCTGAGATCCGGAGGGTCAAAACAAGTAGTGGCAGTCTGGCTCGATGTCAACATGGCATTGCGTTGCTGCGCATGTTTGTTGA